CTAAAAAAATGGGAGAAGAAGAAAGAGGAAGAGGGAATAATAGAAACAGCTCCACTGCTATGTAGGCAATAGGTGGTTTTAAAGGACACGTGGGTGGGGCACTAACACAGCAGATATTAAAAGATGAAACAAATCAACAAACGGTGCTGAGACAACTGGATATCTACAAGCAAAAGAATAAAGTTCGGCCCTACCTCATACCACAAGCAAAAATTTACTCAAAATGGATCAAAGACCTAAATGTAAGAGCTAAATTTATAAAACTTAGAAGAAAAAATAAGGATAAATAATCTTTATGACCTTGGATCAGGCAATAGTTTATAAGATATGACACCAAAAACACAAGCAACAAAAGAAAAAATGGATAAATTGGGCATCATCAAAATTAAAAATGTTTATGCTATAAAGGATGCCATCAAGAAAGTGAAAAGACAGCCATTAGAATGGAGAACATTTTTTGCAAATAATTTATCTGATAAAGGATTTTACCTAGAATATATAAAGAACTCTTACAACTCAATAATAAACAAAAAAACAAACAAATTTAAAAAGGGGCAAAGGAAATGAATATACGTTTTTCCAAACACGATATACAAACGGCCAGTAAGCACATAACATCACTAGTCATTAGGGAAATGCAAATCAAAACCATGCTGAGATACCACTTCATACTAATAAGGAGAGCTAAAATCAAAAAGAAAATAACAAGTGTTTGAAAGATGTAGAGACACTGGAACCCTTATACATTGCTGGTGGAAATGTAAAATGGTACAACCACTTCAGAAAACTGTTCAGCAGTTCCTCAAAAAATTAAACATAGAGTTACCATACTATTCCACTTCTAGGTATAGACCCAAGAGAAACGAAAATGTATGTCCACATAAAAACTTGTACACAAATAGGAGCATCATTCATAATAGTCAAAAGGTGAAAACAACCCAAACGTGCATCGTACATTCCACAATGAAGATATAACACATATACATATGAATATGAATATAACACAGAACCACCTTTATGAAATAAAAATTACAAAAGATGCAAGGAGACAAATAGAAACACTACTAGTAACAGGAGACATTAATACACAACTCTTTGTACAAAACATATTATCAGGAGAACCAAAAATAAGGAGATAGAAGATCTAGACAACATAATCAATAAAGTAAATCTTACGGATATTTATCGAACTCTGCACTCTGATACCAGAGAATACACTTTCTTCTCAAGTGCCAATACCTTACTCACCAAAAATTATCATATATTTGGTCACAAAGAAAACATCAGTTAACTTTTTTATAAAGTTTTTTTTTTATAACTTTTGGAAATATTACAAATAATACTCTGATTATAATAAAACTAGAATTTATTAACAAAATAAAAAACAGAAAGGCCCGCCCACCTAGAAATTTGAAAGCCTCCTATTAAACCACTCCAGGGTATTCTACAACTGAAATTATAGATTTTTTAAAGAAATAATGACAATAAAACACCACATATCAGATTCTATAAGATGTGTTTAAAGCAGTGATCAGAGGGAAACTTATAGCACTAAATATATGTATCAGTAAAAATGAAAAAATAAAAGGAATTCATTTCCAAGGTCAAAAAAACTTAAAAATTCAGTTGTTTAGGGCATGGTGCTGATAACACCAAAGTCCAGGGTTCAATCCCTGCATCGGCCAGCTGCCAAAAAACAAACAAAAGTTCCCCACAAAACTTAAAAATAACAAACTAAACCAAAAGAAGGAAATAATAAAGACACAAGTACAGAAAGAGAATGAGAAAGAAAATAGAAAAATAGATCTAACTAATAATTCAAAATTCTGTAGTTTTTGAAAAAATTAAAATACATAAACCACTATGTAACTTGATTAAGAAAAAAGGGAGAAAGCACAAATAAACAAAATAAGAAATGGCATGGAGGAAATAACCATTCAAATAAAAGAAAAAATTTTAAATCATAAGAGACTACCTCTACTACCAAATAAATTTGAAAACCCATATGAAAGGGACAATTTGCTAGAAAAATACATATCACCAAAATTTACCCCATTAGCATTAAAAAGCTTAAACAGACCAATTTTCATAGAAGAAATAGAGAAAGTTTATTAAGAAAATATCCCATGAAAAAACATCAGGCCCAGATGGCTTCACAGAGAATTCCATCAAACCTTCAAACACCAGATAGTCAATGCTCTATAAATAAACATTCCAGAAATGCTATAGCACAAGAAGGATCAAACCTCCGAGAACATCAACCTTTGGAGAAAGATGAACCAGCGAAGGAGAGATTGAGAAGGAAATTTGTGTGAAGAAGACAAAACCCTGGAACACAGAATCTCAGAAACTAAAGAAGGATGTTTCAAGAAGGGAGACTTTCATATCAAATGCTGGAATAAGATCCAATAAAAGGAATGAAAAGTGTTAGCACATGGCTTGAGGGCTAAGTGGAAGGTCAGGAGACTGAAAAAGCCAATTAACTTCAAAAGTCTAGCTGGGGAAGGGAGGAGAGAAACTGGGTAGTGGCAGGGTGGAGGGGTCTAGGGATGAGGTTTTGAAATGGGAGCAACTAGAGTAGATTTATTCTTGATAAGGAGGGACTATTTGCCTGGCATTAGGGATCTAAAGTAGAATGACAGTCATAGTAGAGATGAGTCCAGGTCCAATTAGTTCAATGTTTCCTTTGATTCCTTAATAATGTAGTCAATTTCTCCCAATATTCCATATTTACAAATTACCTCCTTCATCAAACTGAATTTTTATCAGTGGTCACATTCTATGTTAATTGAGCAAACATTACTAAGTGCCCATGACTGCTAGGAGCTAGGAATACAAAGTTGGAAAAGATCTAGTTTCTTTCCTAGAGAAGCCAAATCTCTAATGGGTAAGAATGATCATATGAGTGCCAGTTCCTGGTTTACTGTGTTGTACAAACACTATCTCATTTAATCCTCACAACAAACATTTGAAGAAGCTGGAATTACCTCCATTTCATAGGTGAAGAAACCAAGCCTCGGAAAGGTTAGCTAATCTGCCCCAAGTGGAGGACCTGAAAGTAGAATCTAGGTTCTTGGACTTCAATACTAACACACCCCCAACCTTGCAACTCCTACCTTCATAAAAATGACCCTGGGGAGACTGCCCAGTCACTTGCTCAGCTGCTCAGTCAGCAGAATTGGGCTTTAGCACACTTGAGAATACTTGACATCCTGCATCACATCTAAAATTGCCATCTAAATTTGGAAAGCAGCTTTTATGCCCTCTATCTGTGTGGACAGTCTGTAGTCTGTAGGGCACAAAGACTATGTTTTATTTATCATGAGCTCAAGGGCTGTGTTTTATTTAGCGTTATATCTGTGCCCCTCAGCTTTACATAGTGCCTTTAAATACTTGCTCCTTCAACATTTGTGCAGATTCACTCATTCAACTAATTTTATAACTGTGATATCTTTTTGAATATAATCTAGAGCAGCAGTATAAAACTTCAAATTTGAGCTTTTTGGATTCAGAAATTTACTTTAAAAAATTTATGAACCTCAGGATGCTCCTGTGCTCTGAAATTTCTACAAGCTGGCAATAATAACAAGACTAAGTATGTTTAAATGCACTTTCCATAAATGTCTCATTTGACCCTTAAAACTACCCTGTAAGAAAGGTAATGCACTATAAACCCTAGTTCATAGTTGAGGAAACAGTACCCTAGAAAAGTTAAGAGATTTCTTCAAGGTAATCAGATACACTGGAATTCAAGGAAGTCCTGACTCCAAATCCCTTTCCTGTTCACTCTATTATGCCTTTGCCTCACCTAGATAACCTTTCTTTACTAAACTGGTAATGGTGGAATAAAAAATGAGAAACTGATTTGCTATCAACAAATAAAAAAAAAGCGATAACTGCAGGATATTTTTACTTGGTTGGAGAGACCATAAATGGCCCAAAAGTGTTCCTATAGAAATCCTTTAAATTTTGCCTTTTGCTAGAGTGTGGGTAAGGATTGTTGATAGGACTCACAGATTGTTGATAGGAGTGCAAAATAACATATCTTTTCCAGAGGGAAAATAAGCAATTTACATTAAAAAATAAATTTAAAAAAAAGCCCTTTATATGCATACTCCACCCAACAAATCCATCATCTAGAAATGTACACTAAGTAAGTAATCATGGGTATGAAGACTTTACATTTATCCAACAATGTGTTTAAGTAGTGAAAATCTGGGAATAACCAAGTAAATAAATTATTACTGCCATATAATGGCATGGTACATAGTAAAAAAAAAAAAAAAAAAAAGTGACCACAAAACACAATTCACTTTACAAAACTTCATGTATGTATGAATTCGTATTCATCTCTGCATTGAAAAAGACTAGAGGTGTATATAACCATATTCACAATGGTTACTTGGAATGGTGAAAAAGTGTTATCTTCACTGTGATTTTGTATATTTTAGAAATTTTGTACATAAATGGCTTACTAAATGTTTCTACATACATAAATGTTTCTAGTAAGACGTTTTAAACGTTTAAAGATTGTGAAACAGCGACGATTTCAAAAGAAAATGTTTAAAATACCATTAAAAAATAAAGCATCACTATACCATCACCATTAAAATACCATTGAAAAACCAAGTATTCATTATGAATCCACAGCAAAACTATTTTCTTTCAAATTCCAGTCTTTCCTTTGGACCTGTTCGCATTTAGAAAAACGCTAAAATGTTGCCTGGCCAGAAGCCTGAAAGACCTTCCTGATTTCTACCTGTAGTTTGTAATTTGTTCCAGAAAAGAAAAGCAATCACCTAAGAGGCAGTTCAAAAAGCACCTCCATAGGAAAGTACTAGGAGGATAAATTTCTCTCCCATTTCTTTCCCTCCGGACCTACCGACAGGACAGTCCTGACAGTGACTGGCCCAGTCCTGACAGTGACTAGCCCCGTTTCCTACAGAAGCACATGAGATGCACCAATTCCCAGTATACGTTTCTAAAATGACAAGTTTTACTTTGAAATGCAGGATAAAGAGCAGCCTTCACTACTCATTCTTGACGTTGTCATTGGAAGATGTCGCTGCGCGGCACGAGCATCTCACCACGAGGACAAAGCAGGGGCTCCTCGGCTCAGGTCCCGCCGGCGACGCGTCCGAGGCTGTTTCGGGAACAAGGGCACGGTCCCCGGACACCGCCTACCCCGCCCTCATGACAGACGCTCGGAGCCGCGGGGACCGCAGCCTGCCCGACGACAGGGGAAGGTCGGGGTCAAGGCAGCAGGTGTCTTGGTTGCCACGCCTGAGGGATGGCGATGGCCAAGCGACCTAAGGGGCGCAGGGGAGCTGTCCCCGGGGAACCCGAGCCGGACAGCCGCATCCTCCCCGCGGCCCCACC